TGACTGAGTGCTCTCCTGTCCTTTGGGTAGATACCCAGGAGTGGAATTGCTGGATCACATAGTAGTTCTAATTGAAGGTCTTTGCAGAACCTCCATATTGTTCTCCACAGTGGCTGGACCAATTTACATTCCCACCAACAGTATAGGAGTGTTCCACTTTCTCCACATCCCCTCCAGAACTTATCATTATTTGTTTTTGTACTCTTCACCATTCTGACTGGGGTTAGGTGGTATCTCATTGTGGTTTTGATCTTCATCTCCCTTACAATGAGGGATGTTGAGCATTTTTTCATATGCTTTTTGGCAGTTCATATGTCTTCCTTAGAGTTGTTTATTCAGCTCATTTTCCCATCTTTTAATTGGGTTAATCATTTTCTTCTGGGTAAGATGCTTGAGTTCCCTGTGTATTCTGGTTATCAGTCCCTTATCTGAAGCACAGTTAACAAAAACTCTCTTCCATTCTGAGGGTTATTGATTCACACTAATTACAGTGTCCTTTGCTGTGCAGAAACTCCAGGATGTAATCTGATGAAATCCCACCTGTCTATTTGGGGGATTATAGCTTGTGCTTTGAGGGTCTTGCTTAAGAAGTCTTTGCCTACCCCAATGGCTCCCAGAGGTTTCCCAGTGTTTTCCATCAGTAGTTTTATGGTTTTCGATCTTAGGTTTAGATCTTTGATCCACTTTGAGTTGATTTTTGTTAATGGTGACAGATAAGGGTTCAGATTCATCTTTCTGCTGGTGGATACCCAGTTTTTCCAATAGCATTTGCTAAAGAGGTTTCCCTTTTCCCACTGGATTGACTGGTACCCTTTGTCAAAGATGAGTTGGCTGCATGTTTCGGGGTATATTGCTGGAGTCTCTACTCTGTTCCATTGATCCTCATGTCAATTTTTGTGCCAGTACCATGCTGTTTTGATGATCACAGCTTTGTAATATATTTTGGGGTCAGTAAGTGAGATGCCACCTACTCCAGTCTTCTTGAGTAGGATGGTGATTTCTCACTTCTATCTCTCCAGTGAGCACATGTGCCCTATAGCAAAAACCTCTCTTAAAAAGAAAAAATTAATAGTAATAAATAAAATTAAAACAAATAATTTTTAAAAAGACATGAGACTCATGAGATCACTTAGGAGGTGTGGACATAACAGTAATTTTGTCCCATAGGGGCTGTCTGGCAGTGTCTGGAGACATTTTTAGTTGTCACAGCTGGGGGGGAGGGGACTGCTTCTGGCATTTGGTGTAGCAACAACCAGGGATGCTGCTCACGACCCAGCACACAGGTTCGGCTCCCCAAAACAGACAATTATCCAGCCCCAAATATCTACACAGTAGGGCCCAAGACGGCAAACTAGTGTAGATAAAGCAGAGAGGGAAGATGGAGCCCTAGCTCCATGCTTCTCAGACTTGAATGTGCAGCCAAACCAGCTGGGCAGACTTCAGATGTAGACTGTCATTGGTGAGTCTGGGGTGGGCCTGTGACCTCCGTTTCTAACCAGCTCAGGATGGTGACACTGTTGGTCCATGACCCAAACCTTCAGGAGCAGGTTCCTCGGGCACTTTAATATTTAGACTTTGGATCAAGGAGGAGGGTCTCTAGCAAAGGGAATTAAGAAGGACTGGCCAAGGGACCAGTAGAGGCTGTAATGGTTATGTGGCTGGACTTCCACGTAGTCAACTGGTTTGAGCCCTGGACCCAGTGGCTTGAAATTCACATCAGGCCAGTGTGCTTATGTGCCAGAATTCTGAGAGGAGGATGAAGGAGAAGGGACTGCAGTGTGGTCATGCCCCCAGGGTTGATTTCTCTCTTTCTGTCACTCTGTCTGGCAAGTGCACATGCTCTATAGCAAAAATCTCTCTTAAAAAATAAAATAAAATAATCAAGAAGAAGAAGGAGGAGAAGGAGGAGGAGGACTAGCCGCTGTCTGGGAGGAAAAGCAGAGGAATGTGTTTGAGGAGTTGGAAACCTGGGTCTGGCCATGGGGTTTGGCGAGAGGGAGGTTATTGATAACTGTGATGAGTGCGGCTTCAGAGGGTAGGAAGACGAGAGCCTAACCTGAGTGGGTCACAGATAAATGGGAAGTGAAGACGTATTGTTAAAATGAGAAGAAGCAGAGGTGACCAGAGGTGGAGTAATGATCATGTCACTGGACTCCCACATAATCGACCATGGTTCGAATCCTGGACCTGGTGGCCATCCCTCCTGGCCGATGATTTCTCTCTTTCTGTCTCTCTGGCAGACATACATGCTCTGTAACAAAAATATCTCTCAAAAAAAAAAAAAAAAAAAAAAAAAAAAAAAAAAAAAAAAGAAGAAGTAGAGAAATAAAACGATACCAGGAGAAAGAGGTGGGGTCCTGAGAGGTTTATTTCTCCTTTAAGATGGACAAAATTATAGTCTATTTTACATGGAAATTGTACAATAGATAGGGAGGCATCGATCCAGCAGAAGGGAAAACAGAAGCAAACTCCTTATTTTGACAAGAGACCCAGTAACACAGGTCAAAGGCTGCCCTTGGAGCACTGGTGGATGACCTTAGAGGCATTGTGGCCAGGGAGAGGCATAATGTGTGAGCACAGGGACAGGCAGATTGGTAGGTTCTGCACTAAAAGATAAAAAGAGAGGCTATCAGGTGGGTGTAGACTTACGGCGCTCAACCCCACATGCCTGACTCCACGGTTTGAGTCTTGGACTTGGCAGCTTGAAAACCACACCAGGTACATACGCGTGCACGTTCAAAATCCTGAAAGGAAACTGGGGGAGAAGGGATTTTGGCATGACCATCCCACCTATAGAGAGGGTGATTTTTTTCACTTTCCCTTCCCCCCCCCCCGTCTCTCTTCAGGGAGCACACATGCCTTATAGAAATAAATAGTTTTCAGAAAACTAAAAAAAAAAAAATGGTAAAAATAAATTCTCTTTAGTTTGTTTCTTTTTGCTCAGTGAAATGAGAGGCAGTCACTTGCTGAAGAGTATATAACGGGAATGGTGGAGGTGAGACAGGATGTAAGATGCTCACCTCTGAGAGCAGAAGGGGGAATTGAACAGGAAAATTAGGTATCCGATAAAGGAGGATTTAAGGCAAAAAGCATCAAGTGAAACCCACTGTCCCTAAAGAACTATCTAGAGAACTGTCAATTTGATATGAGTGAAAGTGCCAGTTCACAGGCGGCTGTAACTGGACGAACACTTCGGTGCAGGATCAAACAACTTTGACACACATATCGTAATGGCTGCTAGAAACAGGGTTACAAACTCACAAAAACACCACCACACACGGCGAGCTGAGCACACCTGCCTTTGACTGATAGAGCAGACAAAAAGTAAACAAAGATATGGAGAAATTAAATAAGATAAACTGAGGTGATTAGAAATTACTGGATTGTCTGAAAAGTCATGATGTCTTTTACTATGTTTTTCTGTGCAAAAATGTGTCACGACTTTTCTGACAACCCAATAGATCAAACTTTATATCTTACAAAGGATGGTTCTCTACAGTCTCCAGATTTCCCACTTTGTAAGTGGGAGCAGTAAACTGTTTTTTGTTTGTTTGTTTGTTTGTTTGTTTGTTTGTTTTTGAGAGGTTTTTGCTATAGGGTATGTGCACTCGCTGAAGAGACAGAGAGACAGAAAGTGAGGAATCACCTTCCAGGAAGATGGCCACACTGCAATCCCTTCTCCTCCATTCTCTTCTCAGGATCTTGGGCATGCATGCACATACACCCAGCATGAGCTTCAAGCTGCCAGGTCTGGGACTCAAACCACAGTCAACTATGTGGGAGACCAGAACCTTAACTGCTACACCACCTGCTGTCCCCTGGACAATAAACATTAAGGAGAGGGTCAGCCAGTGGCATGGATGTTAAGGCAGCTGGATCCCACATGACTCATTGCACAGTTCAAGCTCCAAGTCTGGCAAGCTTGAAAAACACGCCAGGTACATGTGCATGCCTGCCTGAAAGCCTGAGAGGAGAATGGAAGAGAAAGGGTGGTGGCCATTCCCCCTGGGAGTTGCTTTCTCACTTTCTCTCTCTGTCTCGCTCAGGCTAGAGCATGCGCCCTGTAGCAAATTTATAAGAGAGTGAAAGAGAGAACCCGTCGAAGAATAGGCTACCACAAAGTAAGAACCAACAGTGCCCAGAGCTGAAGTCAGACATCAATTTTGCCTTTTCTCCTGAAAAGCGGGGCTTCTATCTGCTTCCTGTTCTGCTGAGGAGAGTGCTTGCACCTTGGCGTCACTCAAAACCTCTGGGTGATGGTTTAGGAGAAGCCCAGAACTGTGCTGGTGATTTCCAAATGCCCTCTTCGATTTTAGGCCTTTGGCCTCATCAAGGGGACCAGAGTCGGGATTCTCGTTGATGTGTCAGCCGCCAGCAGTGGCCCTCAGAAAGAGGAGTTCCAGAGTGACCTCGTGGTGAGTCTCCCCACGCAGAGAACTACTTGGAGCCTCCCCCCACCCTGGCCTGCCTTTCCTAAGCTCACTAACTGGCTTTGTTTATAGCCATTGCAAAATAGGGTGTTTACAGAGAATAGTTCACACTTAATTAGCACCTACCATTAAGGAAATATGTTGAGTTCTGCGAGCCCAGCCAGTCATTTTCACTCCCAGTGTGAACTTCTAGGGTTCTCGCCATAGCAGTATCTACCCACCATACTGCCTGAGAGCCGAGGTTCCCTGGAAAGAGGACGTGCCCACTCAGAGCTGGGGAGGTGGACTCCAGCAGGGTTAGCTGGATGAAGGCTCTGGCCTTCTCTGGATGAGTTATTCTCGTTTCTCTGGAGCTTCTGTATCAGAGAAGCTAAGGATTCTAGAGTCAGAGACTGATGTCAAATCCCAGCTACTTCTGTCCCTTCTGGGCTATGGGACTGTGGTACCTCATCTCTCTGGTTACCTCATAGAGTTGCCATAGGGATGGAAGGAGTTCATTTCAGTGACATGCTTAGGGCAAAATCAAGCGTAAAAAAAAAAAGCCTCTGTAGTCCGTGGTCTCTGTGAGGTGTTATGGAGGGGCTATTTTCTTTTTTAAATATTATTTTATTTATTATTATTATTTATTTTGACTAGGGA